ATGTGTGTCTGCTTCTTGGAATGCGGCGAGAGCGAGAGAGTCCGTGCAGGGAGACACACAAAGCGAGAGAGAAACAGCGAAGGACGAGCTGTGTGCGCACGGCCCTCTCCGTCTCTCTATGTCCCTCACGCGGCCACCACCGCAGCGGCAGCCGCACATGCAAGCAGCAGCAGCAGCGCAAGGGGGGAGGCGGAGTGCGCGGCCGCGGTGCTGCTGCCGTCGCTGTCGCCGGGCACCGCCTTCGCTGCACTCGTCGCGTTGGTGGTGGTCGCCGCTTGAGCAGCCGCCCCCGCTGCCGGCTGAGTGGCTTCTCCTCTCTCGCCACTCGTTTCCGTTTCCTGCCTGGGTGTGGTGGCTGCGGGCTGCTCCTGTTCTCGCTGACCAGCCTCGTTTGCCGCCACGGAACTCTCCGGCTGCGACTGCGCCGCGGGGCTGATGCCGCTCCCACCGCCAGTCGTCGTCGCTGCGTGGCTGGCCTCAGTGGCGGTGTCCTCTGCTGTGGGCGGCGGCTCCTTGCCGCTGCTCGTCGGTGTACCAGCGGCAGCTACACCTTGCTGTTGGGCTCCTGGGGCCGCTGCGGCAACAGGCCCTGCAGAATGCTCGGCAATCGCCTCAGCCTCCTTTCCAGCCTGTTCGCTTGAAGTGCCACCGCCGCCCGGAGGGGCAGTCACTTGAGCTGCATCCACTGCCCTTCCATCCGGTGTATTACTTGTGTCAGCTGGGGCCGGAACAGTTTCTTTGGGCTTAGCTTTCTTGTCACCGCCGTCAGCTTTATCATCACTGGGCACACTCTCCTCGACACCTTTTTCCTTCGAAGGAGCCTTCTCCAACGCTTTCTCCTTCCCTGCTTCCACTTGCCCTTCAGTTGGCGTTGGCGGCGTTGGTAGTGTCGACACTGCCTCCGGAAGTCTTTCATGTGATGCTCCTCCTCTGCCGTCTGTCGAAGTCCCGGCGGAGTTGTCGGATGCTGGTAGCGACGCCACTGCAGCAACATCGGGAGTTTGAGGGGGAACGATTTCGCTTGCTGCTTGGCCATTTCCACCTGATGCATTATCCGTTATGTGCGTGTTGTCCACGTCTTGTGTTGCTGAGCCGCTGACACTCTTGGGCGGATCTTCTTCTCCAGGCGTGTGCGAGTCCGTGTTGTCTTTTCCCTCTTCTTCCGTTCTTTGGTCCTCGAGCCCTGTTGGAGGCACTGTCTGTGGTGGCCCCTGCAGACTGTCCTGTGACTTTGGTTCCTCCGGAGGAGTCTCGGCGTCGCTTGGCCCGTCCGGAGAGGCCCCAAGCCTCTGCGTAACGCCGCTTCCGTCCGGAGAGGCACCCGACTGCCGGGCGACTGGTTTTAATTCCGGCGACGGTGCCGCTGCCGCCTTTTCGCCCGATGGCGATTGCGAGCCGCCCGCGCCTCTCAGCTCCGCCGAGTGCCCGGACACTTCTCCCCTCGGAGCATCGCCGCCCCCTCCGCCGGGACCAGACGCCGCCCCCTCCGCCTCATCGCCCTGCAGACTCGC